GCCCAGCACGTAGCCTCGCCCCGGGAACGCCCCCTGCTTGCCCTTCTTCCAGGGCTTGCCCGATGAGCAGGGGCTCCCGTGCATTTGGCGTTTGGCGAACTTCTTCCACATCTTGGCGTGCCGCGCCTTGCACACCCCGTACTTGCGGTACTTGCAGTGCCTGACGAAGCAGGGCGCGCCGCCCGCTGGAGGGCACGGCGCGACGGAAGGGGCCGGCCTAAACAGGTGGTGCCGGCCCCAGGGGCTGGGTGGGCCGCCTATTGCATGCTTTTGGCCGTGGCCGTGGCCGTGGCCATGGCCGTGAAAGTGGCCATGGCCGTGAAAGTGGCCGTGGCCGTGACCGTTGCCATGGCTGAGGCCTCGGCTGCGGCTGCGGCTATGGCTGCGGCTATGACTGCGGCTGCGGCTCCGTCTGTGCTTGTGGCAGTGGCCGTGGCTGCGGCCGCGACTGTGTCCGCGACTGTGGCCACGGCTGCGACCGCGACTATGTCCGCGACTGTGTCCTCGGCTGTGGCCACGACTGCGGCCGCGACTGCGGCCACGGCTTCGGGGGCGGCTGTGGCTGCGGCCGCGGCTGCGACTGCGGCTGCGACTGCGACTGTGACTTTGGGTGCAGCCGTTGCCATCATTATCCTTGTGCCCGTGCGGGCCCTGATGTGTGGAGCATTGAATTAGCATCTGAAAAAGAAAAAAAAACAAACAATTAATCAATTTTAATTGTTCAACCACAACTACCTACAATATTCTACACTACGTGAAAGCGTAGGCTTCCGCGGCCGGATTCAGTATTTAATTTGGCCGGACTGCCAATTAAATTAATTCTACACTACGTTCCGGGCGCTCAACCGGAAGGATGTGCCAGGGTAGAAATGAACCTGGTAGGACGTCTTTAACACCACCTACACAAGCTCCAAGTCGGAGTTTGTAGAGGAAAGTACAGTTGCCAGCCCTTGAAACCAGAGAAATTTCGAGCGTCTGAACGTTTTTGAAACTACTTTCTCGTTTACATCAGATAGAGAAAGCACTGTCGAAATTTTTTCCGAAATACGCATCTTGGGGTCTTTAATACCGGAAACGTCTTCCTGCCCGTCTGTCCGACAACCCGTCCGTCCATAGCTAATGGGATCAATTATTATTATTATGAGTGGTACGTCCAAATGTCGAGAAGCGGACATAGGAGTAAAAAAGGACAGGACAAAATGTCACGTTTTCATTTAAAAAGATGGTGTTCGTTCGATTCGAATTTTAATTTTTATTATTTTTCTGCTTTCGCAGCATTGCTCTTGTAATTGCAAGGAAGGTTTTGAAATATGCAACAGATTCAAACAATTGTTACTACTTTTGGCGTACTTACAGTAACCTGCACTGATAGAGAGATCGAAGTAGTCAGTTCATTAAATGTATATAGATTTTCTTCTTCTCCTCATGATTACAAATTAAAAATTAAAATTGTGGCAGTAATGAAATAACATTTAGTACTTTAATTATTTTCTTTATAAAAATAAAAGTTTACTTAATTTTTAGTTGACGTTTAATTATGATTTGCTCACTTAATAATATTAATATAAATGATTTTTAAAATACAACTCTGTAGTAAACGATAATTAATAAGTATTATTATTATTATTATTATTATTATTTTAATAATACAAAAACCTGATAGTATTATATAAACCTTCTTATTGAATGAACGTGATAAAGATGGCACTAATGTATAACCGAGTATTATCGGGGTTTCATATAATAACACAGGCAGACAAAAGAAATGTGTTAACTCGGTGGGTGTGATAACAACCTCCGAAAACAATAATACTATTTCACGAAAACAAAAATACGATTTCACGATAGCAAAAACCACCCTCAAATTTACGATATATAATTTGACAGTGATTTTTTCGTGATTTGAAACAAAAAATTGGAAGGTGGTGGTGCGATTCTGGCTTCAGATTCGGATTCAGTACGCCCCCTGTACAAGCATTTGGAACAAATCACCGTCCCTATAGAGAATTAACACATTTTGAACGTTGGCATGCTAGTAAACAATAATTGTATATACACGACCAATTCCAATCGACCAATGCCGGATCTAGACAATTTTGGGCCCTGCTCAAACGTGTCTCCCCCCCCCCCCAAAAAAAAATGTGAAAGTTGTATCAAGAAACTATGAGTTATTTTATTTCAAAACATAACGAAAATACTTAAACCAGAAAGCTAGAAAATGTTATTGAAATTATTCCTAAAATAATAGTTTGAATTAAAAGTATTTAGTGATCAAATAAAACAATTTCCACGGTGGTCTTAAGATGCTAAAAAACTTTTGTTATGTTTAATAACTTTTCAATAAAATTACTTGTTGAATGTATGAGGTAATAAATATGAATTTCTGCAGAACATATTTTAATGTTTGCGCCATTTGATTCATTTCATAGTAATGACTACAATTAACTATTTTCAATAAAAATTTTATTGAAAGTTTAATGAAATATCAGACTACTGTACCGCGACTAAGAAACTACGACGATAACGATTTTCTCTTGTTGTAATTTATTTTTAAATAATTTTCCCCATAATCCCTTTCATTGGGCCCCCGACAATCACCCAGTCTGATCACGCGTAGCGCCGGCATTGCAATCAACAGCCTTCTGGCTATCGATTTGGGGTTGTGAAGTGTACAGAATTTATGAATCCCGTGAACGCCAGGAATACGTTGTGAGAATCTTCCCTTCCTAAAATCACTTTACGTAACATTTGACTTAAAGTTATCAGGAAAAGCGTTGTAAATAATGTAAGATAGCAGCGTAATATTTTCTACAGAGATGTTTATATCGGTAATTATACTAGGTGTACCTTTAAAATTTTTCACGACATCTAAAAGGTGTTCACAAAAAGTGCTGCTTGAAGGTGTACTGAATTTTAAAGAATGAATTAAATTTAAATTCATTTCCGGTAGACGAACGTTTTTTTCTAAAATTTAATTTGGGAATTGTCCTATTGATACAGGCACAAGATGAATATTTAATTGATACAGATATCACTTTTTTTTCAAAGCAAAGCTGATCAGTCCGCGCAGTACAATAGACACCAAATTACTAATGCAACAGCAGCATGTACTTTCTCATATTATTGCTAGTGGTTTCGTAATATTACGGTACTCTACCTTATTCCCAAACAACACTTTAAACTACAGAGAAATTCAAACATATAATTTAACCAAACGCGAAAACTACTATTACATTGAAAAAGTGCTAAGAAAATTAATTAAAGATCTGAAACTTAAGTTACTGAAATTAGATACAAACTTATATAAATTGTTCAGTTCTGCAGGAATGCGTGCTAAAGTACAGAAGTTGCTAGAAATTGTTTACTTAAGTAAGATAATATAATATAAAATTTGATGTTAATGTGATACAATCATGGGGAGTAATATGTGATATAATGTTATAAATTTTCATGTAATATAATCTGTAATGTAACCCGTTGATGTATACTTAATTGTTGCCTCTGATGACCCTTGTTTGTAAAAATTGACTGATATTGAGAAACAGATTGTACTGTAATATGAATCTCTAGTGCCGGCATTGAAAGTGTACTTTAGGTTCACCACATAGCTCAAAATCATGCAAACAACCTAAATATTTTGAAAAAGTGTATACGAACATTGTTAAAGATGAATAGTGAGGAATTGATTGCACTAGAAACAAATGTCTATCTTTAATAATGTAGTTAAAGGACGATCTCGAAAAATTTTTAACTTTGCAATTTTCGAAATTTCAGAGGAATGAAAACGAGTCATTTTTTCCATTTGCTCCACTCGAGCCAGAATGTAAAGAAAATATTTCGAGTCATTTGTGAGATTAGTTTGAAAATATTCTAGGGGCGTCATGTAAAAGTGCCCCTAAAAACTAAAACGTCCGATTCAAATTCGTAGAAGCCATGATATCAGCAGATCTATTAGAGAATACCAACATTCGTGGGTCTTTTGTATAGTTTAGGATCTATGATACAATATAATTTAAACGATACAATTTAACAGCAGACGGACAGTCTACAAAAAGTACGTTTCCGGCACCTCTAAAATGTGAATTCATGAAAATCTAGACGTTTCTTCTTCTTCTTCTTCTTCTTCTTCTTCTTCTTCTTCTTCTTCTTCTTCTTCTTCTTCAGCATTTTACTATTCTGCTTACATCGGAGAGTGTGGGCAGACTACACGGGCACGGCACTGTGTTCCGGTGTCCGGAGAGCCTGATTAATATCTTAGGATGCCCGAATTAACCAAACTTTTAGAACTCGTAGTAGATATACTGTTGATAAAATATTTTTAAAAAACTTTATCAAAATTAATATAAAAACAAACTCAAACGTTATTTAAAAATAAAATATTAAAATATATTTTTTCATGTTTAACTAATGTAAAATTCGGTTGAAAAATATTAGAATACAATGTCACTATATCTATATTTATCTCTTTACAATGGATATAATATACGATTATATCTACTGTACATTTACCATAAATAATACACATGCTTGCACCTATACCATTAATGTAATAAAGAATCATAAAATACACACACCATCCATCCCCTGTGTGGTGTTCTTTTAACACACCACAGAGGAGGATGAAGTGATTATGACGTAAATAATTTACCACACCTCTAAACGTTTTTGACCAGAGTTACAAATTCTAAATGCACTTACCTTCAGCAGGAGTTACGTGGCAGCAGTGGGCGTCCGAAAGCGCGTGGGAGGGCCAGTCTTCGTGACAACGGCGGACGTGTGAGCAGTGTGTCTCCCTCACTGGCGCTCACTGGCGGCCGGCAGCGGCGCGCGCCACGATAAGTGCTCCCCCACCCCCACCCGCGCGCACGGCACGTCACGTGACCGGCAAGGCCATCGGCCCCCGGCGAAAAAACAGCAAGCAGCTGCTGACTCCCCGGAACGGCCGCTCTCGTGCGATAGAAATTCGCGCAATGATCAAACGCATCAGATCACGATCACGTCGATAATACTTTTATTTATTGCGTGGTTGATTTTCTTTCGCGAATTAGGGTAGATCATTCCTACCTTTTTTCGTGATTTTTCGTGATCGTGATCGTGACGCAGTATGGCGCAACAGTTCCCCCTCCACGACTCGTGACTCGACGATCGTTAGTGGCTGAGGCCGTCGGCCTCGTTTCTCTGGAAAGTCCCATCACGCCACCTCCACGTGATCGTGACTCGGCGTGCAGCTGCTCGTCACGTATTAGTTCGTGACTCGGCAGTTTTTACATAAAGAGGACGCGCGAAGGTCTTCACATCCTGGGTTCACAAAAATGTGGTTCGTGATCGTGATGACGCACGTGGCTAAATCGGGTAAACAACGTGATTCGTGACGTTTTTCAAAGGAAGTTATTAAAAACCGTTCACTGCAACGGATCTCTCGTATGAAATTACATTCGCACCCGTGTTTCGACATTCTACATTTTTTCACCCCAAATTAATTTCGAAACAGTCTAGAGTTGATACATTATAACTTTTACGAAGTTCATGGCGAAGTCGTTTTTACAACCGTCACTTGTGAAAAACTGTGAAGATGCTGAATACTTTTTCGCAGTTGTCATTGTTTGTGGTATTCGATTCCGTAACCAAGCTGTCAAAGAAAAGAGTGCACACTTGGGGGTTATTCCCTTCCCACCGATTTTCAAAGGGGGTCCAGTAAAACCCACACAATAAAACACTTCAAATTCGTAAATATGATAAATTACTGAAATTTCACCTTTTCAGGCAAAGAATTTGGAAACTTGATACACGACATATGAGAAGGAGGCTCTACAAACCATCTAGCAAGCCTGTAAATGGCTCAACATAAAATCAGCTGTATCTACTTATTGTAAAAATTAACATTTTAATTTATTATCCATGTTTGTATACTCTACCCCCTAGTAAAATATGTTCGCTATAAGTAAAAACATTTGATGTGGGCCCAGAGAGACCAAGAAAAGTATTTGCCCCTCTTGTTTTACTCGTACACTGCGCACACCCATATATACGAGTGTCGCTTATATCGATTGATGCTCGCCCGTGATCTGGGATGGTCATATTCCCATTAGCGTAGTGTATTTTGTATATTGTCGACGTGACAGGCTTTTCCCCTCTCCCAGCAGCACATCGCCCCAACCGGGACAAGTGCCAAACTCCGTACTGGTCTAACGACGAGAATAATGTTGTTTATCGTAAGGGATAAAGGAAGAAGATGGGAGAAGAAAGAGGAAGGAAAGATCGCGCGCGATGCATGGCCAATTTCTACTGATCCGGCATTCACTTGAAATAGATCAGAGAAAACACGGGAAACTACTAATCAGAGCTGATATCTAGCTAAAATTGAAAATCCGTCATTGTGGGGAACTAATATTACTAGTAGCCATATGATACCGTGATACTGGTAAAAGTTGTCCACATATGTATTACAGCAGCTTTTAAAATATTTTACATGATATTAAAGTGCTTGAATGGGCACACTGTATCTCTCTCATTCTTCTTATGACTACATTTCTCTCCATTATAATATAATAGTCATAAATTTGGTTTTTATTGTCATATAAAGTAGAAACTGAAGAAGCTGGTGATACCAACTTTTATAATACGTTTCTTTCTTTTGTTATAATAATAATTTTAGCTGTAGAACAGCCCGGCAACCCTTCCCATTTTCCACCTACCCAGATTATCTACGTCTAGGTACATTTCTGTTAACGAAGTCGATTGTACTGAATTGTTTCAACAGAAAAAAAAGAATCGGAAAGTAATAGGAAGAGATGCTGAGAATGAGAGGGAGTTAAATGGTGGTAGAGCTAAAGACCTTGGACATGTTAGAAATGTTTTAACAAACGCATATGGATAGATGTGATTCGTAGGATTGGGACTTATCTGATATATTAAGAACCTAAAGAGGAATCCGTACAAAACTTGTCAATTCGTCCCACAGAAAACACAAGCAAAAGGTGGCAAACTAGTACACTTGATAGTGATGGTAGAATTTAGCACCTCAATTTTTTTATATCGCATTTTGAAAACAAGGCTTTAGCATTTTATTGCATTATAAAATTAAGATCTAACATTTTGTAGTATTTGGTAAGAAAACTATTATTAAGGAAGAACTCTTCTCGATAAAATTATTTTGATGCTTTTTAGATTTTCCCATTAGAATTTACGCGTGCACTATAGGCGTAGGGCCATCTTCTTCTTGTGTCCTACTCCGTACTACACTGTGAACTGAGGTAAGTTCAGACCTATTGAGATGATCCTAAGCGGTCAGACTTTCGGGATCAGTTTTTTAATGTTATTATTTTTTACTACGATTGGTCCGTTAAATCTTATTTGTAAATTAATGAACACGGCTACTCTCAAAATATGTTTTCAAACATTGATGTGTTGTTGTGGATGTCGCTTCCTAGTTGGAGAGAGAACAGGAAGGAAACCATAAAAAGCAATTAAGCATTCATATTGCACATTCACGAGTATTTCGCACTTTGTACGTGATTTTGCGTTTTCCGACCGCTTTTGCATTTTATCGCAGATTGAAAACCTTCAGATACACACTGCACAAATCATTAAACATACAATTATATTTTTTCAGCGTTCCGCATCACAATGCATTTTAGCAATTTCTAACATCAACCATCTATAACAATGGAGTAATGACGAATGGACTTTTGAATGGCGAGTGTGAAGATGTCGACGGATTTCAGTTCTCCCTAAAATAAAATCGAGAATGCCAGAATAGCTCGGGAAAATTTTCAACTGGTTGGAACGAATCGACGAATCGAATCGTTGGAACGGTAAGCGACATCGATTTCAGAATGAAGTGGAGTTAAGAGTTCAAATTGAGGCGTGTTCTTTGTACGTCAACATGCTTTGCGTCATGAATGACGGAGGCTAAGTGGTTGTGTCAGTAAAGTATTTTTTATTTATCCACATTCCCTCTTATTTATCAACTAACATTGCCCTAAGGTGTGTATTGCAAAGAGACATGTTATCATGATGTTATTTTCAAAAATAAATTTTCCCAAAGAAAATGTTATTTGTACTAAATTTAAAATGTATTTTTAGTTATTTGTTTCGTTATTTAGAATATATATTGAATGACTTGTGGTTCAATAGAAAATTCGTAAAAGCAATATTTGTGAATATTTATCGTAAACTTCTGGGAGGAGCTCCCATCCTTTCTTGGTTGTACCGTTCTGTCCTTTCCAGTTCTCCGTGATCGTGATGCAGCATGGCGCAACAGCTCTCCCACTACTATTCGTGACTCTATTGTTAGTGGAGAGGGCGTCGCTCTCGTGTCTCTGGAAAGTTCCATCGCGCCACTTTTACGTGACCGTGACTCGGCCTTAATTCGCCCACCACATGGTTCGTGACTCAGGGCTACTTATCTAAGGGGGACGTGCGCAGGTCTCCGCATTCGAGGCACGTGATCGTGATGGCGCACGTGGCGAATAACGTGATTCGTGACTCGGTGCTACTTATGTAAAAAGTAAGTAAGGAGTTTTCCACACCTGAGTTGCGTGATAGTGACGGCGCACGTGACATCGTGTGCAAAACGTTATTCTTGCAAAGGAAAATTCGGAGGAGGGCTGGCCGCCTCCCATTGGTTGCGCCACTGTTCCGTCACTTAGTTTTCCTTCGTGATCGTGACGCAGAATGGCGCAACAGCTCCCCCACCATTACTCGTGACTCGATTGTTAGCTTTGAGTGCGTCGCTCTCGTTTATCTAGAAAGTTCCATTGCGCGTCTCCTCGTGATCGTGACTCGGCGAGATTTCGGCGTCACATGGTTGGTGACTCAACACTACTTACGTATGCAAATCGACGCATTTGGTGTACTTGATCGTGATAGAACACGTAGCTTGCTTGGGTAAACGTGATTCGTGACTCGTTTTTCGAAAAAAATACTTCCTAAATATTTTTCTGGATAATGAATGACGTAGAATTATGTGCAATTGCAACAGACCTATGTTCCCTCCAGTTGAACTTTTTACTTCAACAATATTGTAGGAAATATTTCTATTAATTTATTTCGTGACTTCAAAACATAATCTTGCATATTCGATCGTAAATTTCGTGTTATATGTTCTGTCGAACTGCCCACACCTCAGGACTAATGTCTATTGGTGCTGTTTCAAATATGTTTAAGGTCGGTTCAGGTAATGAGGTAGACTCATCCTTGTACCTGAAAATTGGAATTTGTCAAACTCTATAAGGACATATGAACATTTATACTATGACACCATAATTCTGTTAGTGAGAAACTTTTGAACAATAAATTTGGTAAACACGGCAGGAATAATTGTACTGTTCTGGAGATCAGAATATATTTTAAATACTAAGAGTACATTAAGTACTTTGACCCCTACATTTTCTGAAAAATAGCTTGAAATATTTTAATTTTTAGCTTGAAGAGAGGAAAGTGTACTTATAAACAGAGTATACTAGTTACGATTTTCCTCCGTAATTCTGAAAACAACAAAAGTTCAAATAGTTTTTCAAATATTGCCTACACCTCTAATATTAAAGTCAGATATTTCTTTTTTAATACAATTTCTACCTTAATTATAGATATTTAAAAGATGTCAAGTACATTTTCAAAAAATATGAGTAGTCGTTATGTAGCAACAGTAAGCGCATGGAACGTTTTGATATCTGGCGCTTTCCATTCGCTTATATTTCAGTTCAAAGTGAATTATAGGTATGAAACTGTTTATAAAATCCAGTTTTTAAGAACGTCTCGTGATGAGTAATTCAAATAATCATGTGCGATCTTCACGGCGCACGTCAACCAAAGTTGCGAGAACGAGATACGTGACTCGATTTCAAAAAATGTTACTAGATGTATTCCATATAGCGTATTACGTACAATTACACGAGACCTGTAGATCTTTCATTCCAAATTTTCATATATCTGTCCACAAACTTTTCTGCCCATTAAATGCGTTCATAAGATTATTTTTTAAGAACTCAACTGATTCGTGAGTCGGCTACGTAAAGGGGGGTGGAAGTATTAACATCTGGGGTACGTGATCAAGACGGCACTCATGGCTTAATCCAGTACAAAACGTGATTCCTGCAATAGAAAATTTTCAGTTTCTCGAGCGATAGATGCCCCCTCGGTGGTGCGACTGTTCCGCCTCCCTTGGAATTCCTCCGTGATCGTGACGCAGCATGGCGCAACCGCTCCCCCACCATTTCTCGTGACTCGGCGGCCGTGAGCGGCGAGGGCGTCGCCCTCACTTCTCTGGAAACTTCCATCCACGTGATCGTGACTCGGCGTGAATTCGCCCGTCACGTGGTTCGTGACTCAGCACTCCTTACGTAAAGAGGACGCGTGCACGTCTTCACATTCGGAGAGCGTGATTGGGTAAACGACGTGATTCGTGACTCATTTACTGAAATAAAATGTAATTCTAAACATTTTTCAGGATGTTTCACATGTATAATGTTGACATGCAAATGCACCAGGGCTGTGTATCTTTTAATCGTATTTCGTACTTGAATAATATGGTGGGAAAAACTTATCCATGGGCTTTAAAATACCATCTTAAATTTTGTATTATAAGTTCTTCTGAGCTGTAATTTAGCTCACGCGTCCGGATTAAGGACTATTGATGTTGTTTTAAAGGCGGTTAAGAATGGTTCTGGTGGTAGGATAGACTCATCTTTGGATCCTAAAATTGAAATGTTTCCATGGTCTACCTGTATGGATAGATTGATGGAAGTATGTCATCATCACTCAGAGGAGAATCTTTTAAGCAATAAATATGGTAAACATGACAGGAGAAAGATTTAATTGTGCGGTTTTGGAGATGATGAATATCAATTAGCGAGGATACTTTAAGTGAGGCCCCTGTAAAATTTTCAAGATTTTCTAAAAAGTGGTTTCGTATGTTTTCATAATTTGTTGGCACGAATACAGGAAATGCATTTATAAACATATTATAGTAACGAGTTTCATGCGAAACTCTAAAGTTTTGAAAATTACAAAAGGTCAAATAGTTTTTGAACTTTGCCTTCTCCTCCAATATTAAACCCAGACACTGCTTTTTTAATTAAATTTCCTTAATTTTAGACCTTCAAGATATGCCTTGTACATTTAAAAAGAAAAATGAGTAGTTAATGAACAACGCTAAACGGAGAGAAAGTTTTAGTAAGCGGCACTTTGTCGTTCGTTAATATTTTAGTCCAGGTATGTCACACATTTTAAAAATCCAGTTTTCAAGAACATTACTTGACGCGTGATTTTGGATAATCAACGCATTCACGTACACTATCTTGATAGTGGGGGAACGTGGTACATGACTCTCATTTCAAAATAAGTTGCCAGGTTTATTCCTTATAGCGAATCGCATACAATTAATTATCTGTAAATTCATTCTTTTTTTTATATTTTATTCGAAACGTTTTGTGTATTGGGTATTGTGTGAACTTATAATATTACTTAAGTATGCCCCAGATTCGTGAGTCCTGAGTAAAAGGGAGGATAAATTTCTTCATATCAGTGGCATGTGATTTTCAAAGCGCACATGTCTTGTTGCAGCGAACAACGTGACTCGTGACTGGGTGCTACTTATGTAAAGAGGGCATGCGGGAGTTTCCACACCCGTGTTGCGTGTTCGTGATGGAGCACGTGGCCTGTCAGGGCGTAAAACCTGATCAGTGACGCTGCGCATCTCAGGGGAAGGGGACGCGCGGAGGTTTTCACATCCGAGTTTCGTGATCGTGACGGGGCACGTGGCTTAATATTGTGCAAAAAGTGATTCCTGCAGTAGAAAAATCTCGGATTCTCGGAGGGGGGCTCCCCACATCGATTGTGAAACTGTTCACCTCTTTCAGTTTTCCTTCGTGATCGTGACGCAGCATGGCGCAAGAGCACCCCCACCACTACTCGTGACTCGTGACGATGTTTTAGCGAGGAGAGCGTCGCCCTCGTTTCTCTGAAAAGTTCCATCGCGCCACCTCCACGTGATCGTGACTCGACCTGCCGCCGGAGATCACGTGGTTCGTGACTCAGCGCTACTTAGGTAAAGGGAACGTGCGCAGGACTTCACATTCACGATACGTGATCAATGTGGCGCACGTGATTTGATAGGTGAACACCGTGATTCGTGATGCATTTTTCAAAAGGATTCATCCTTCTGCTAGGAAACGTCAGGCGCTAGATCTAATTTATGCCTTTTCAGGGAACTTGAGTATATTTTAATTATTGAGGATTCTTTACGTAATGCCTCTTTGATGTTTTTAAAATTACATGAATGTCTTCAAATATTTTATTTATATTTTGGCTGAAGTAGAAGAATGTTCATACATAAATATAGTGTAGATATGATTTTCAATAAAACCTTTAGAAACTTCGAAAAAAGTTTCGAACCTTGTCGAGTGCCAGATATTTCTTACTTAAAGCAACTTATCCCTTAATTATTAATATTTAAATGATGTCATCCGCATTTTTTTAAAAACGAGTAAGAATACTAAGAAAGTGAACGTTTTGGTATACCGAAGATTTTCCTTTGTTTATATTTCAGTGAATAGTGAATAATAGGAACGAATTTTGTTTATATGATCAAGTTATTCGGGATACGGAACACAGACACTCATTCACTCCGCGTTCGGTTTGTGATGGCGCACTCGGCGACGTTGAGTGAACAAAACGGGATATTGACTCGTTTTACAAAACGTTACTAGGTATGTTCCGCGCAGTCTATCACTTGCAACTACACCAAATATATACAATATACATTCCTGTTTTACGTCCCGCATACTCTGTACTACTTGTAGAGTGGATAAATAGTATTGAAAAAACTGAATTATTCTTATTCCTATGCGTAGTAAATCTCTTCCTCTGGCACAATATGCAGTTACAAACCACATTTTGTAGATCCTTGATACAGAAAAAATTGTTTATGGCCCGATTTCCCGTCGGTACGTCTACCCTGTCGTCTCTTTGTCCGTTTGTCTGTTTGTCTGACTATGTGAATAATGCCAGACGGATGTTATGTCTTCAATTTGAATAGGATATTATAATTTTTGAGGGCATATTACATGATCCCTCAAGGACATTTCAAATTTTGACAGTTATAGCTAAAAACTTTTTTTTTAAATTCCCTCGGAAGACTAGAGTAAAAACCACTTATTAAGATGTTGTAGATACAATTTTCTGTGTTAACTCTGAACTTTTAAAAATTGTAAAATATTGAAATTGTTTTACCGCTCATTCAACTACATGGTTGAAAATATATATTTTTTTCTTTAAATGAAATGTGTTGAAATGAAAAGAACAAAGAGATTTTTATATCTGCATTTTCAAAAATACCAATAGTTTTCGAGTAATTTTGTTCGAAATACTGGCAAATCTGAAAACAAAAGTTTCTCAAAAATGGCTCTAATTTTTTCATTATACTTTGGGTATTGATGGTTCTAAGATATTAATTTACACGACATTGAGACAATTTTCACGATTTTTTTCTTACGCAATTGAATTTTTTCAATATCTCTTACATCGTTAATATTTACAATACGGGCACTTTTATACATTATTTGCTTTGCTAGTTAAGTTATTGCAATATTTTTATGTTCGTTTCTCGAATCATCTAACGTTTTCTATAAAAATGAACTCAAAATCGTTTACCTGAAATGACTTGCTCTATAATATTTAGTTTATCTCGCCATCAAACGATTGAGCGCCCACTATTAATTAATACATAAGTAGCACAACATTTTAAAAAAATTAACACACTTATTGTGAGTAATATTATTCTGATCTTCATATCAGAACAAAGCGCCGCACCAATGCTTATCGAATTACGCCATACGCATTGCTGCTTTGACTATCATCATGGCCTTATATATTATTCCACTTTGACACTGCACAGAATTCTTTAGTAGATTATCTAGTATCAATATAATCTACTCTCTGAAATAACTTGCATACTGATCTAACGCAAACTAGAATGTTTTAAGACTTTCGATAGCTCCTTTGGTCATTGATTGGTTATTTACCTATTCCTTTTGACTTCGAACATCAGTAGTACTATCTTTTATTCTCTTATCATACTTTTACTACTAATTTAGTATCCTATTTTATCACAGAAACCCAGAAAATATCAAATATACTATTATTTCAAATGTACTATTTCTATTTACCTTTTCACTTGTAGTGCATTATTTGTGGCTCATTTTATGTAGGATATTGACTGGTGGATGTTAAAAGAAACAGTGAAAGGTATTGTTAGAATTAACCAAGTACTATATTGTTACAATAAGCTTTTTGTTTCCTTTCGTATAAAATACTTCAAACAAATACATTATTCTGTGTTATGCTACTAAAACCTTAGTATCTTGCAAATAATAAAACTGAGTGAATATCGGAATATTATATAAAACTCGAAATATTATATTAGCTATTATTTTGTGACAGATATTGATATTTTAATACAAGCTCTAGAGAGCATAATCAATTAAAATAAGTTTCTTGATTTCTTACAGAAGGATGTAAGGTTCATAAGAGAATAATCACACAAATAAAAAACGTTTCTTTAATAAAATAGTTGACGTGAGTATAAAATATTGCTTATAGTAAGTTTGTTAAATTTTAAAAAGACAATATTTTATCATTATAACAAATATGGTAATAATAATACATTTCTCATTACTTTTTTAAGAAAATGAAGCAAAAATTAAATACCTAATACACATGTGTATTCAATAAATCTTATATATTTCTTAAATAAAAATTTATTTAACAATAATTGAATAGTAACTAAGTGAACACGTTGATAACATACTGTACGTAAAATACTTTCAAAAGTTTGATTTTAGTGATCAGTTCTTTCCCCTTGCAATCCTATCCAGATTACTTAAATCGTAAACATTTACACACATTTATATTTGGAATGGACTTTATGTAGAAGTAAATGTCAGCGATTATTCTAGGTGATATCACAGGTGGAGCTGAGAATAATTGTCGGTTCCAATTATAAGTTCCTAAATTAATAAACAAAATAAATCTAGACATAATTATATTTCTTACTAAAAATTCATAACACATTTTATATTATGAGCATTCAAACAATATTTGTACTGATGATAGAAATGAAATAAGTACAAATAGTGGACTCTACTTGTAGTCATTATAAAATATTACTAATAATTATGTATTATAAGGAGGCAATAGGATATACTCTATATTATTTATAATATTGTATTTGTATGTATAGAGTACTGCAGTTATTTAGTTACCAAGAATATTTAAAAAATGCTACTCCTTAACGGAATACATGGATAACAAATACTTAATTGAAGCCAGCCTGATGCTTGGAGTCTGTGACGTGACATCAGTTGTGCCACAATCAGTGATTCTCTGAATACAAGAATTCGGTGGATAAACGCAGAACGAGAATATGCGAAATAATACAATAAAATGTTTACATTTTTCAGTCATAATCAAAACTGTTTAATTTCTTTTTTGATTTTCCTCACGGTCCTGCATATTTAACGGAAATATAGACGTTTGGAGGCTGCAAGGGTTTCTTTAAATTTTTGCGCGCTTTGAAAATGAGTAATATAGATTATAATATATCTTAAGTACAGATTATTATTGATGTTTACGATTTTCGAAAAGGATGTGTGAAACGAAAATAAAGCAGTATGTGGAAATAATACGAGGAATTAAAGAAAATACAATTCTATTAGAAAAATAATGATTACATCTACATTGAAACTTTATTTGTACTAGTTACTTTATTTATTATATGTGTTAATGTTTTTTAGTCAACTCCTCCGCTCCGATATAGAAACCGGAAGAAAAGGCTCCGAGCATCAACTGAATGAACTTCTTCTGACCGGGACTGACTAGGTTCGAGTACCGACGATGGCAGGATTTTACTCACAGGTTAGGTCGAGTTCAGTCGCTGTCTGGAGGAAAATTCTAGTGGCCGGCTGTTCTGATCGTTAGTGTTTCGTTGTTTCTCCGATCAATACCAAGTGAATGCCGGAGAAGTACCCTAACAAACGGGCCACGAACCGCGTGCGATATTTCCTTCCTCATCCTTGTCCTATCCTCGCACCTTACTTAAACATACACTACCACATGTGTCGGAAAACCTCTCTGGAGCTTAGTTTGTCCCAGCTGGGGCGGTGCCCCGCTGGTGGGAGATACCTGGTCGGGGAATACCCAGCTAGCCGACGGTTGGTCTGCCCCGGATCTCACTATTTGTCGTCGGAAGATCGCCATCTCCCACAATAAAAAATGCACTCTACGTTCAAGTCTAATAATCTTAGCAGTTGACGCGCCCGATATCGCTAATCAATCAGTCAACCCAACCTAGAAGGCTGTGAACAGCCCGGCCCCGCCGCAGCTGCCAAGCCACCACCACCCAACGCCGATGTACTCGCCGTCTCCGTCGCGTTTGCCCCCTGCTCCCGTCGTTCGCCCCCATAAACCGTCCCGCTCTCACCGCCACGCTTGGTGAGCCCGTCCGCTCCGGATGTGAAAAAGCACATTAGGCTTCACGCCCGTGGGGCGCCCGCTCCTCGTGAGCCAGAGGCGCTCCGCGGGTGACAGTCGCTCAGAAGAGACCAGTAAGCCTGCTAGAGACCGGTGACTTGAGTGGTTCACTCGACTACGGTGGCAATCGGTGTTTTCTTAACCCTACAACCGTATTTTTGCTTAAGTTCTCTTTGTTCATAAGTACAGCTGCTTGTGTACACATGCTTGAGGGTCAGATGATTTATTTATTTCTTCTTTCCAAGGCTTTCGTTGCAATATTTGGTAATGGCTCATAACAGGTCTACGTATTTCAGAAGTGGAGAGATAACCTAGCATTTATCGTGTTTCATATTCCTAGATATCTAATATTTTAATCATTAATCAAGCTAGTGAATGCTCGTGCAAAAAAGAAGACTAAGTGATACGAGGGGCTTAACATGTCTACAAACATTAATGATTACCTTATTTCAATTTTCAAAGGAATTGAGGCGCTTAGGATTATAACGGTAGATCCCAATCGCTCTCGCCTAATCAGAAGTATGACCGTTAACTCCTATACCTATCCTATGCTGAAATATCTAATGAGTTGACTATGGATAAACACTCAAATTTCACCTTCAAACGTTTGTCCACAATGAAAATGAACATGAACGAAAGAAAAATTATTTTTTCTTTCTCAAAACGAACTTCGGTTGGGATCTGCCATTATTATTCTGAGCTCCTCAATTGTGTGCTTCCTGGGCACGTGAAGAGTCGGAAGAGGCAATACCTGGCAGAGGCGAATCCGTGGCCTTTGAGCGCCCTAGGGGCAGCTGAGTAGGCGTCGGCGACGGGAGGGGTCGCGACCCCCCTCCTCTGCCCGCTCCTCCTGTGCCTTCGGCACCGCCTCCGCTTCCTCCTCCGCCGCGCTCACTTCCTCTTCCGCCCCCGCCGGCGGCGGCGTCCGCGCTGCTCGCAAGTCGCAGCGCCCGCTCCCGCCGCCGCCGAGGCCGCAGCCCTCGCCCAGCCGCGGCCGACACGAGTGCGAGGGGAAGTGCGCCGCAGAGGCCGGCCCTTGGTGACCGCAGTGTTTGCGCTGATTGAAAGGCCCGTGGTGGCCATGGTGGCCGTGGGGGTCGTCGGTCTCGTGAGGTCCGTGCGGGTCATGTCCGAAGCCGACCCGCTCACTAAATGGACCGTGCTGATGGAATTTCGTTCCGCGATCTAATGAACCGTGATCTCTAAAGCATGATTGCTCAGAAGGTCCGTGATGACTGGAACTTCCCGGACGTCCAAACGGCCCACGATGATGATTAATGTCTCCGGGATGCTCAAACACACCATGATGATCGAAACCCTCGTGATTACCGTGATGAGCGGATCCTCCACGGTGGCCAAATAAACCATGATGACCGAAGCCGCCTCGATGACCAAATGAACCGTGAGGGCCAAAACCTTCTCGATGACCGAATGAACTGTGAGGACCAAAACCTCCACTGTGGCCAAATGGGCCATGATGACCGAAGCCTCCTCGGTGACCAAACAGGCCTAAACCACCTCTATGACCGAACGGTCCATGGTGCGCAAAGCCACCTTCATGACTAAATGGACCTAGATGCCCAAACGATCCGTGATGACCCAAGCCTTCCCTTTGCGAAAATGGGCCGTGATGTCCAAAGCCTCCTCGGAGACCAAACAGGTCGTGAAATCCGAATCCACCTCTATGAACAAATGGCCCAAAGCCACCTCTATGACCGAAGGGTCCATGATGCTTAAACCCCCCTCGATGGCCGAATAGACTATGAAATCCGAAGCCACCTGGATGACCAAATGGCCCAAAGCCCCACCGGTGACCAAACGGGCCATGAAGCCCGAAGCCCCGACGACGACCCAATCCTCCTCCACGCCCAAACGGCCAATGAAATCCGAATCCAAAGTGTTCTAAGTGCCTGTTATGACCAGAGTGTTGGTGGTCGTGCGATTCAGCTCGGCGCGAAATGCCACGCCCCCCGCACAGCTCGCACTCCGAGGGTTGACAGCGCGGGCGGCGGGCGCTCGGCTCGGTTGGTGCGTCGCGTCGGGGCGTCTGCGCCCGCTGCGCGTCGCCGTCGTGCCACGCGCTGAGGCGGATGGCCGGCGGGCAGCTGGACGCGCGGCGCGGCTGCCGCCCCTCGCACGCGCAGCCCTCCGCCCCCGCCCGCGCCTCGCACTCGCAGCTGGGGAAGAAGTTCCACGCGGCCAGCTCCGCCAGCCACGCCTCCCGCTGCGCGGCGGCCAGCGCGAGCGCTCGCGGCTCGTCGCCGTAGCCCTCGGCGAACAGCGACTCGGCGGCGGCGGCGCCGTAGGGGTCGCCGTACAGGGCATCGAAGGCGTCGTAGGCGTCGCGGCGGCGCTGCGCGGGGCCGCGCTGCGCGGCGTACAAGGTGGAAGCGGGCGGGTCGCCCGTCTCCCGCCAGGCGGCGTGCGCGCAGCACGGCTCCTCGGCGGCGGAGAGCGCGTCGCACGTGGCGCAAGTAGTGCGGGCGGGCGGCGAGCGCGATCTGGCGAGCCCGCGCGCCGACGTAAGGCCGCTTTCGCCGCCGCCGGCCGCCCCTCCCTCGTCGGCCGCTCCCGCGCCTCTGCGCCGCCCGCGCCGCCCGCCGCGACCACGCCCCCCGCTGCCGGCGGCGGCGCACGGGGCTTCCCCGCGGGGCGCCGAGCTGAGGGCATTTTAAGGTCTCTTCAAGGGAGGGGACTAGACGTGAGCGGTGCCGCCGTCCCCTCGCCTCGCCTCCTCCTTCACTTCTTCCTCCGCCCCCGGCTGACGACTGCGGGTGGGGGCAATACTTGGCTACCACAAAGTCATTTTCTTTGTAATATTCCTCAATAATTAACACGTATAGATCGCGACACATCCAAACTGTTATTCCCATTACGAAGTACCTTTGGTCGTCATTCTCATTTCATTTTTTCTGGCGTTTATATAGGTTATTAAAGAAAAGTATTGGAAATAGTGGCGATGAGATACACGCTATTATGCACTAAAAAGTGCAAAAAAGAACTGCCACCGTAACCACAAGAGCCGAAATTAACACTATTGAATAAGGCGTTAGACCGGTTTCTCTGATTATAGCCCCCCCACACACACATACACACGCACACACACATTTTAATATTCATATGAACTACTCAATTACAATTAGTGGGGAACTAAATATTCCGTTTTATGTTAAAGAATTTGCGTGTTATTGGTATTTATATTTACCTTACAACCACAGCGGGGTTTTGTCGGTCCGTCTGTCTGTAGTTTGCACCACTCATGGGAAATCACATAACAGTGAAAATTGCAAATTCAAATAAATTAATCCTAAGGGAAATGCAGATTATAACATTTAGAGTATTTTCAATTAACATGGTAATAATTTTTTGTGTTATGTTTAGTGTTGATATAGCATTTAATGAAAATGTAATTTAAAACATTTTGCCATTTTCTTTGTTCTATAAGAGTAAAATTGAAACGAGATTTTCAGAATAATGCAGAAGAGCAAAACCTATTTTCTTAAAAAAATGGAGAAATATCCTGTCTTCGTGTAAAAATGCAGCTATTACTTGTAAAACCCAGTTTTCCACGTCGTGGAGCTTCAAAAGGAATTTTATCACCGACCTATATACATAGAATTACTGAGCAGGTTCCGGTGCTCGTATTCTACTATAGCAAAGGAAAAGTAAAAATTCAGGGCCATTTCACTTTGAGAAAGGTTGCAATATGACGACTGAAATGTTGGCAAATCTGTCTAGATTGTGGCGTCTCCTTCACAGCCAACTTTCTATTGACTCCGGTTGCAGACGTTTACGGTTGCAAAGTAATGAAAAAGTATGGTACACAAAGCGAAGACAGCATTGTTTCCCCAGAATCTAATTCCGTCTGACGGTGGCACATTTTCACCCTCATATGATATAACCACTCATGTGATAAATTATTTTGACACTCGGGGATGTCAAACTACATTCGGGCTGTTGTCAGTGAGTAACGTGAAGAAATGACCTTCACGAACGTTGGCAACCTTGTGTTGTCGTCCTCCCTATTGTTCGGTCATTGCGTCATCTGAAGAAAGTTCTCATCCAAACAATTTATTTTTATCGCTAGAATTAAAGAAAAATACGCTTACAGCTTCTGTTTAGGCCGATCCGGTGGCCGAGATCGCTAACGTAGTAGTGCCGTAGCGATCTCGGACCAAAGGATCGCGGGTTCGGGTCCGCCTCGGGCATGGTTGTAGTGTGTTCGTCCTTTCACCCCTATCATTATCATATCGTGTCATCCTCACAGGTACCATACCGTTACACGCAATAGTGGTCGCTAATGACCTAGTAGTTGACGCGACCTTAAATAACAAAAAGAAACTTGTTTTTGGAGACATATTTTTTACACGGATTATTCTTTGATTAAAAATTGTTCCATTGAGAGTTAAATTAAATAGATAATAAAAGTGCAAAGTGCAGCGTATGTGGGCGTGATTGCGGGATTCTCGTTTACCTTCGACTTCGTGATTTGCCCTACTTTTAATTTCACTGTAAGAAAATATATTTTTAAATTCTTACATGATTCAACTTAACATGATCGGTACCAATTCTTAAAATATATTATTTAGGGGCGACATCCGAACGTACTAAATCACTTGTGAAAACTGTAATCTTTAATTGCATCAACGCAAGGTATTATCAACTGGCGCTCCAGCTCATCTGCCTAGCGAAAACATTACGTTGTGTGGAGAAATGCAATCTTCGGCGATGCTCAGTTGTCTTAGAATCTGTCAACACGTCGGTCGCTGGCTGGTACTTACTCCAAAGTAGTTGTTGCCTCTCACGGATTAGAATTCTATACGTCGGCTACTCTGTTCAGACTTTTCCATTATTTATTTCGTTCAATTCTCAGTAATACTGATATCAAAACCTTAAACAGCGCGCCAACCACCGCGATTAAAAATGTTTTTAAGAGATTAAACAAATTCTGAAGAAAAATGGATCTCTTGGCGCAGTGGCGAAGTTGCTTGCCTTTCCCCACTGAGGTTCCGGGTTGAATTCCGTAAAATCTCAGTATAACCTCATGTGAAATTTGTTACGACAAACGAGTTTGCATGCTTCACAGGGGCTAGTCCAACCAATTGTGTAATGGTTGGTAAATCTAAAAGCTGTAAGGAAGTTGTTAAGGAAGTTAGGTTAGCTTAGCAACATAATCACCAATTGCTACGAGGAATTTGACACGTTCCTGCTTCCGCGATTTACGAGGCATCCTTGAGCTAAATCAACGCAAAATATCCAACGCATTTTACACCAAAATAGAGATAAGTCTTATCTTGCCTCTCACATCTTGTATAACTAACTAAATACGTGTGTTCTAAAGTACTCTTTTTTATACGAGTTAACAATTTGCCAAAGATTTCAGACGCAAATTGTTTATTCCTCATCGTGATCCTATTTCTACTCTTAAAGAGGAAGGACATTTCTAAATAGACTGTGAAAATACTGCGAGTACATGGATTTCATGGTACGGCTTGATTGGTTGTAGCGCTTTAGGTAGATGTTTTAAGATGCATTCATTTTCAGATGCTTTAAATTGTCAGCCATTTAAAGAAACCTTGCAGGTCATTACCTGGTATGAGTGCAGCTGCAGACCTGGCACTTGAGGCAGTCTGGGTCATAACAACTGTGTTCAGACGCCTTGGAAGTGAAGCTGTGAAAATCCTTTGCCTGCGAAGAACCACGCCGAGGGAAAGAGTTCATTTTTCCTGCAACCCAGAATTTCCATGATATTCTCCCAAAATAGAAGTTTTTACACACCACAGATGCATAAATGTTTACTGAAACGTTACGTAACAGAGATCATAGAGATAACGTATCATATACAAAGCCGAAACAAAGAGAAAGAAAAATAAAATTAAATCTTCAAAATTTCGTATTTTTTTGAGTGTGTACATCTAAACAATGCCCGATGTTTTTGTCGGAATTGAGATTTATATAATTTTTAGAAAACAGCATTGCTTTATAGGAGGCTTGGAGAATTCTTCTTCAGATATGCCCAATCGGGGTTATGGTAAAAAAAATTACAAATTTTAATTCAATTCACTGTAATGTTTTCTTCTGATCTCTGAAAGAATTAACATTGTGTGTAGTGGTATTTAAATTGCGCGTTTCGCCGTGTGCAAGTAGAACGCGTACCTTCTCTCCCAGGAAAAACAAGGCGCAGAACTACAGAGCAGCACAGCAACGCAGCTCGGTCGGCGAAGGTAGAGAGACCACTGGGCGTAATTGAAGACGACCTTCACGCCGGCGGCACTTCGCTCCGAGCCCACGAGAGGCGCCACCGTATGCCTGCTGACGCAACGAAACAGGTGAGGGCGGGGCGGAGCGAGTCAGATAACAAACAGTAAAGAAGGCACTGTTCTGACGAGATTTACCAAGAAGGGAAAACGATAGTGACGAGAATAACGATGTTGACGATGTCAACGAAAATGGCGGAGATAACGACAGTAAAGTAAACGACAAAGACGACAATTTCAAAGTTATAATTGGTTACGATGGTAATAATGATGGCTACGTCGAAGGTGTCAAAATCGACAACAATGACGAAGGCGAAGAAGAAGACGGCGACGACAGTTTTAGACGACATTTTAAAGCGATGTATAACGAGAATATTGTATTCAACATTAACTCAAATATTCACATGATATTTTTTCCACGTTTTGGGTTAAAATGATATCGAAAAATTTTTTCAATAAATGCAGAGTTCAGAAATGAGTTTGTCGTAATAATCAACAAAGTGTTTCATTTGAAGACATTCAAAATTTCAATTTTTAAACATTCTAAAAAGTATGGAGACGGAAACATAAAAATTGAAATGCTCTAAGGGTAAACGGTTGAAGAGAATATCTTCGTACACATTCCATCCACACAAACTTTTATTCAAATACTCCTTTTTAAATGAAGCAAAATATTTGCACAAATTCAATGTCTACGAACATCATTTTACGGCATACGCGTAATGTAAGTTACTTCAAGGATGTAAGTAATTGGTGAGCTGAAAACAGTAAAACAGAGAATACGCAGGTCATCGGATGCTCCGCCTACGTAAATTGACGTCATCCGTTTCCACATCCAAACGCGGCAGCGAGCGCAGCAGAACGCGTCCTTATCCATGTCCGTGTCCGTTATCACGCCCGCGCCCACGGCCGTGCGCGTCAGCATCGCCAAACTCGCCGTGATGGCCGTGCCCTTGAACGTGGCCGGGGGCATCAGTTGGCCGTGCCCATCAGTTGGCCGTGCCCATCAGTTGGCCGTGCCCATCAGTTGGCCGTGCCCGTGAGGGAAGTCTTGGCCAGGGTGGCGCTGGCAAAGTAGCCTGCAAGCGTACGGGGACATTCCGTGCTGGCCATGGGCCTGGCGATGTGCAGGTGGTCCATGTTGCTTAATAAAGGTATATTAACAATGATTGATGACGTAATTGACTGTGATCAGATTTGAGCTAGGTAGGAGGAGATGTAATTTTCGTGGTTTGGGGAAACATACATGTTAGTCTGAAACTAAAACTCGAGATAAAAAAGGTTGCGAAAATATTTCAAAAATGTAATTTTGTCAAAATGTTACTTTCTTGCTACTGATTACGCACTATAGAGAAAGATATGCAATACTGCAGGGTGCAAAAGGCAAATTTTTAGCAGAAAAACTTATTGTCAGGCCCGGGTAACACAAAAGTGGATAAATCCAGTTGAGAATCGAGTTGATAAATATAGAAAAAATCATGTATAACGTCGTGTAGCCAGAATTCAAGTTTTGTAAGTCCTTGATACCGAAAAATCGATTGACACCAAACGTTTGTCCGTTTGCTGGAACAACGCTAGCGGCTAAACCGTTCAGCCAAGTTTCCCCAAAATTGATATTTCTCAATTCATCTGGCTGATGTCGCGGCCCCTTGAATTGGAAACCGATAATTTATTTTGTAGAGTACCTTACTTGAAACTCCTGAGACATTTTCAAAATTTTCAAAAAAATTGCAAGAATTTGTTTGTATTAAATTTAATTGTTAGGTAGTGTGAAGAACATTTAAGAGAATGGTGGAGGGTTCACTTTCCTTGAAATACCTGATTTTTCAAAAAATGCAGAAGCTACTTTTTTGGGGTGAGCGTAGTAGCATAGAGTCAACCGAGGTGTAGTGACGTTCAGGTTGATGGTATTAATATAAATTAATGACTGACCCAGAGGAACTCGAGACTATACATGTTGCCATTCTCTCTAAACTTAGAAACTCCCAGCATCAATTTAACACTTTTTATCTCATCTCATCTGAAATTTCTGGACACAGAAGCGTACTTCACTTATCCTAAGCAACTGATTTTCTTGGCTTATGTTTACTTCTCATATATCCAAATAAAGTTAATTGTTCTTACTACGAACTTTATCCGCTCACTTTGGGTGATTAGCCCAAGACCACACTGTTGTGTTTTGTAAAATTATCCTATGAATTAACATTATTGTGAAGGAAAATGTTCATTTAGGAGTATAGGAATGTTTATTACAGTTAGGTACTTAAAATCTTATAAGAGAAAGTATTAATGGATTTAAGGCTTCTCAATTCTCTAAACGAACACGCAAATTTTATTTCTTTATTTCTTTATTTCTTTATTTATTTGACAAAAATAATAATCATATACATTTTCATTTTCAATACAAAAAATATTACTGTCCTGTTGTTTTTCACAGTTCAGAAGGTTATTAAAAATATCTTCAGAAATGTTGGCGACAAGGAAAATAATTAATTAATTTTACAAATATATTGTCCTTTGCATTTGCTCTAAAAGTAATTAAAGAAGAAAATACTCAGACTTTTAATCACAAAAGGCAATAAGGGCTATTTGTTGAGAAAATATTCTTTAATACATTATTTTCAGAAACTTTTTGACTGTGCCATTTCACGGAAGTAGTATGTCTGCGCTACTAAAATGATACACAATTCAATAGCAATTCAGATAAGACACAATCTGAATTAAGTTCATTTTCTTAATACATAAATAATACAGTAGTGAAGATAAGTAGATATAAAATTTCAGTCTTCAGTAAGCCAAACGTAGGATAGAAACAAGACAGAGCGCGTCGTGGCAGGTTGTGCAAGCTGCAGCGTCATGAACTGCAGTGCGCCGGACTTCTCTTGTGAGTTTATGGTCATCGCTATTCGCAATTGAACATCTTATTAATAAAGTGAGATATATCCATTTCCGTTTGTGTTCAATTTTCACATGTCAATATACCTGTGTTTTTGAAGGCACTTCCTTATTGTGCCACCGAATATTGTGCTAAAAAATTGTGTTTCCTGTATTAAACTGTGAGGCGAGACTCAAGTTGAATAGTTCCTCTTCCAGAAAAACTGGTTTCTTAGAGGTATGTACCTTTAGAAATTAGTTCTCCAATATTGACCGTGTTGCACCGCACCGCGTGGGGTCGTGATTTGTCTGTTTCTACCCTTAACACCAGTCCAGCAGCTGCGTGATTTTGGACTCTGGAAGATGTCTAATGATTTGCTTCTATGAATATTTATAGACGAAACACGGTCTCCTAGACAGATGCTAGGTCAAAACTTGCAGGAGTAAGGTCTGTCGTGCAGAACAGCTTCATTAGCTCCGCCTGTGCTGAGACCACATATCTTGTTTATGCTCTCCGAAGTGGTAGTGACCATTACGTCTGCCGTACACGCGGTCTGCCCACGAGCATATCAACAGCCGCGTACCCGTGAAATATCCACGCCCGTGAATGAGGCCATGTCCATGTCCTAGTTATGCCCATGTGTCAGTGCCGGTGTCTGTTAGCATGGCCGTGGCCGCAAGCGTTTCAGCGACTGCTCCGTGAGAATAGCTGCACTCTTGAGCAGGCCATGAGCAGCGTGTCAATAGCCGCGGAATATTTCCGGTGCCGGGGCAAGCCCACGAGCCTGTCAATGGCCGTGGCCGAGCCGATGAGCATTGCCGTGGATGTGGCGCGTGCTCTGCCAGAGGGACTTGAGGCCGCGAGGGAGCGCCCCCCGGTGGCCAAAGAACTGGTTGAGTGCTGGCGGCCCTTGTTGCGCACGAGGTCCGTGTGGATCACGGAGCCGACCGTGACTCTGGTCAAATCCGTGGGAGCCAGAAAGGGACTGGACCTGGCATCGATGCCGACGAGTGCTGTACAATATCATCTGGAAGAGAATTTAACTTGTAAATGCATGGGAAAGGGAAGATATATATTAGTAATGCGGTTGTGTGTACTGCGTCTTACCGGCATTTTGTATTTCCAGATTTAAGAATTTTTATTTAGTTAAAATTTGATCCGCTAGAATTATATTTGTAAATTTATTGACTTAGGTCATCAATTATTCATTTAATGTACATTGTCGACGTTTCAGCCTTCATTGACGCCGAAATCGTTTCGTTCTATACCGGGTGTCGCACAAAGTCATAAAGTATGGGCCGCCTCCAATACTTCTAAACGGTTGACGATATTGCAATGCAACTTTTGTCGAGCAATGCGAAGTCTTTAGATAAGTACTATGCCGTATATATTTTTTTGTTTGTAATATTTTTAGTTTTCGATAAATTTAATCATTTCGTTTGTTCGATGGAATTATATTTTCCCCAAAGCAACGTATAAATTAAGAACAATAAATACTGACTGTTACTGAGCGAGGACGGACGGAGAGGGGGGCTGTGAGGAAGACGAGGCGCAACTAAAGCAATCCATGATCTTGCCACGAAGGACATATATACAAACGTCAATAATTAACGATCAGAATGAGAGAAATTTTTTCCACTGATGAGAAATATTTATTCCATCATTCATCAGAAATCAACTTTTCTACCTTCGTTGGAAATTATTCCAAGGTATATTACTGACTCCATGATTTTTTAGCAAAAACCGCATTTCGATACAGTGAATCAAGGGGAGTTGCCCATAGTTGTTGAGACGCATGGTGTTTAATATTCCTCACTCAAACTAGTAATATGTTGTATGTGAATATCTCTGAAATTCGATATTGTTACCCAGATAGAGACCAGGTAAATGGCCAATAAGTCGGCAATGTAATTCACAGTAATCATTTTTAACCAAATTCAATAATCTTACAAATATGAAGATTCAGAGGAGAGATATTCACATTTTAATTCTAAAAGTATTTTGTTTTTAAATATTTGTAACACTTCTAATTAGAATAAATTAACAAATAGATGAATTCACAAATAGAGAAATACACGAATGTTGCTAGATGCAATATGGATATTGTGATTAATGATTATTAAAAAAAAGATAATTTTTCGAAGTCCAATGTTTGTAAACGTGAATATGCTTAGCGATATTTACCACGCGAAAGCGATGAGAAATTTTGCCTCCGATGAGAAAAGGTTGATGCTCCAGGAGCGGCGGTGGTCGCAGGCCGAGAGCTGAAGACGCTGTGAGCAGGAAGTTGTGTCGCTGCTTGTTAAGAGTGTTTCCCGTTCGCGCGTCAAAACGAGCTGCTTTTTCCCCGGTCTCCTTTTATCGTGGTTTCATGACGCACGCGGTGCACGCATGCTTGCGCTTGACGCAAATTCCTTCCGTGCGTACGAGAGCGACATGGATATAATTACCCGAAGAGCTCATTCACAATAAAAAGAAGTTAATTGGAATTGTGAATGAAGTGCAGTGGACGTAGTAAACTCTGCGGGAACTGAAATGCTTGCTATCTCATTATTCAATGGAAACCATAAATAGAACCAATGTCAAACCGATAGACCATGATATTACTGGAAACCTTTCAAAATTGAACGAAGGAAAAAAGTTCATATGTTTCAAAATATTATTTCCTGAATCGGACTATTAGCGATCAGAACAGCTTACCTTTGACAGTGTTTGAAATATTTTCTCGTCTTTTCCAAATGTTTATAAAAACGTTAGACATAATTTTTATAATATTAATTGTATGAATTTAAAAATTAGTTTGATTTGAGATCAATATTTCCAATGCCAAATTTACATTTACGAAATTCCTATATATAAAATAGTTTTAGCTATAGATTTATCATTGAAATACATGACAATGATAAATAATATAAAATTTATAATGTCTACAAATTTTATTTCAAAAGTCTTTCAAATTAATACAGTTGCAATGGAGTATTTCAATCAAGTTATTTTTCCTGAGAGTCCTTGTAGCTTTCATGACTTGCTGTAATGGAATGACAGAACATACCGAGCAGATACCTTGACTTCTGCTTTGCTACTTCTGCTTTGAACTCTTGGTCCCTATGCTTCTTTATTTCCTTCGCTTCGTTATGCGATAATATATTTTTAATTTATATCAGAACTATTGTTTAAATGATATGCTTGAAATTTAAGAACCTGTGTCATGTTGTCTATAATACTGCACTGTAGTGAAATGTAGACTTACAAGTGATTTTTTGTATTTTGTTTTGTAAGGTTTCGCATCGGGTATATATCTTTTAATCTCACAACATTTTTGGACATTTTTTGCTCTGGGTGAATCTCTTTGACATTTTGCAGTGAGATTCCAAGTGGGATATTTTTATTTGTGAATTGTTTTGTTAATGAGCTTTCTCAAGTGAACATTTTAACATGGATACACTGATGGCACCAGAATACTAACATAGATGCATTATGCATTGATGCATATTAACAGACTTTTAATATATATATATATATATATATATATATATATATATATATATATATATATATTAAAAGGCCATCTTTCCCCATTGGTTTAGCTTCTGAATTATGAATAAATTTTTAATTTTCAATTTAATTTCGTAAACCACATATTTTTCTTTCATTGTAAAAAGTAACCAAAGAATGAAATATTGTACTGAAGAGAGGTTTATTATACACAGGATACTTTTTACATAGTTTTATTGAGACATAACTTCGTACAATATTACACAAATTACAAGGTGAAATACATCAATAAAAAGAGGGTAAAATTGCGAAAAAGTGCAACCACTGATTTTGTAATTATAGTTCAATATAGAGGCAAACATTTAAACCTAAAACAATAGTTTAATTATGCATTATTGTAAAATGTTTTGTCAATATTTTAACATATAAAACATATTATTCAGTTTCGAAAATGGAGCACCAAATTTCCAATTCTGTGAGTGTTCTTTTCGCATGACAGCCATGTTAAATTCAGAAATTGAACAAATGTACGAGGAAATACTGAATATTAAATCATGTGGCAAATGGAAATCAGAAATTATTCCTGAAGCACTGCCAATTGAGTGCTTAAATTCCAAGTTTAATTACAAAAAGCACATAAGATTCACGGGATGGCGCATGTATCTCTTCCTTCAGCATCCCGCGGGCGTTCCATCGGCGCCACGGAGCAGGAGCGTGGTACGCTCCTCTGCCGCCAGAGCGTGGACTGCCTCAAACGCGGCCGCCGCCGCGCGCCGTGCCGTGGCCTTGTCCCTGGCCGTGGGCGTGGGCGTGTCCGTGCCAGCCGTGCGCGTGATCGTGGCGCTGGCTGTCGCCCGCCCCGGCACACGCGCTCCGGCGGGGGGCAGCCCCTGAGTCGCGCTGCTCGCGGCAGGCGTGGTGGCCTGATGGCGGCGCGTGGTGCGCGTGGGGCCTGTGGTGAGAGCCGTGGCAGGGGCTAGGCCCATGGCAGTCGCGTTGGGGCTGGCACCCGTGCTTCGGAGAACTTGGTACGTTCATCTGAAAGAGAAAGGTGGTCATGCAAGACAAACATACGACGACGATGCCAACATATGGAGACAAAATAGTTGTAGAGACATTATGGGGTATGGGTACTTCCATTTAAAAAGAATGTACTTCTTACTCATATGTTTATTACTTGTAAGAAGGTGATAAATGGAAAACAAGCCTTTTGGACAGTACATGGACGACAAAACATAATGTGCTTGATTAATTAAAAACTCGGATATCACCTTCGTTTCTCAAATTTCAGTCGCGTCCGATATTTGTTCTCGCAATGAAGTTAGATTCTGCATTGTTTTTTTTTTAATTGTAAACATTGTTAGTGATATTCAGACAGATCATTTAATATCAAAATGTTTGTTGAACCTTTTTGAATTTATGAATGCTTTAGACAGAAGGCATTCACAACTGTATGAGAGGATTCAAGAACTTTTGACAGTAGTGGGAATGAAAATTTAAAATTATTCTTGAAATCAAAATACTATCATTTCAATGAATTCTAAATGTAAAATACCATACAAAATATTAACGATTAAACTGAAGATACTTTTTTTTCACGCAGTAGCATCTTACGAAGATTTCATGTTTTAAAACGGAGTTTTAGAACAGAGTTTCCCTTTTGCCTTACCTCGAACAACAGATAGGAAAGCTCTTCGCCAGGGGGTACGTCGCTGCTGCTTTCGCGATGGCCGTTGCAGGTGAGAGAGTGAAGATGAAGCTGTGAGCCAAAGAAGAGGCGCTGCTCCTTAAATAAGGATCGCGTTCATGCGTGACTTTTCTTACGAAGCGGTCGGTCGGGTTGTTGCGTCATGTTTTCGTGATCGTGACGCAGGTGGGATGTATTTTTGCATGATGCAATTTCCCCGTCACCGAGTCGTGATCGTGACTTGTTTAGAGGTTTCGTCACATATCTGAGAATACGCATTCGAAATAAATTAAACTCTCGTTTATTAGTTGTTGTATACATCTTTAACAATATTATTTTGCAATATGAATATTTTATGTTACAGAACCTTTTTATGCCAGCATTCGCATTACTTCTGCCATGTGTATAAAAACATATATGCGTCATTTTTATCGAAATCCAAGCGGCGGTACGATATTAGTGTATTAGCGGCGAATGTGTAAAATGAATGTAAATACAAGGTAATTTATTTACGGAAAAGAGTGCAAGGATAGTTACGTAATTTGAATTCGTATCTTTCACATCTTGTTATTCGCCAAAAATAGATTCAATGATATGATAACTTTAGATAAAAGCCATTCGCAGGTGAGTTTTGACACTTGTGGAGTATAGGGTTTTGGTTATTAGTAAGTAATATATGATTCATGTATTTATATCTAAGGATTCATGATGCAAGTTGTTAGATTTAAAGCATATTACTGTAACTTTGGGGGAGTTAATTTTTAAGGTTTCCATTTTGCAGAGGTATGTTTTAAATGATTTTATTGCGATTTAACTGACATGGACATCAGTTTTCTAAATACGTAATTGTTTATTATTATTACTATTATTTTATAGTAATCATCAATTGTATAACTTTTGTTATATTATTATTAATTTAAATGTTAATGTGATATTAAAGAAAGAGGTTTACAGCAAATGCTCCTGTGACTTACGTCAGATGCACTCTTGGGGAATTTAGTTTCAGTACATAAAAACTACTTATACGTCTGCTGCTACACAATGACACATACTTTCTCATATTTATTTCTTTATCTCTTTAGTATGGGCTACCGTTTTGGTGTAACTCAGTCCTCGTCCTTGCTGTCATCTCTTGAAACCTAAAAATATTTTTCACATTCTCCATATTCTGTTCCCTAATTCTAAATTCAAATTATTACTTTGTTTTGTATAACAATTTTTCTCAAAATTGCACATTTTCAAGAACGATCAAAAGACATGTTCTCAAAATCCGCTCAAATTTTTTGAATGAAAATTGTATACAGAACCATTCATCTAAAATATTCTTGTATTTCAGTTTTACTATTAGGGACCGAAAAATTAAGAAAAAGTGGACAAAATGTCGTTTATGTGCTGATACATAGCTGCTGGGAAAAGAATGAGGTAAAACCAAATAGCTAGCCTACACTAAAGATATTAGAAATCTAACTAGAACGAGAAAGCTTATGCTATTTTGTAGCACTAAGCTTATGCTATTTTGTAGCACTACTGTTTTTATCTTATGTAAGATATTGCCAATGATTTACAAGTTGCCTGTCAGAAGGGACTTGTGCTTGCTACGACACTCGTACAAGAAGGTAAGAAGTTGGAATTAGCCATTCATTTAAATGGTCGATATTTTATTTTTTGTCAAACATTTTAATGTGCAATGACTTTATTGATATTATTTCATATATCACATAATTCTAGTTTGACATGTGTAGAAAGGAAATTTTCTGCTTGATTAGTTTGATGCTGACACACAAAGTAAATCATAATATCTTGTGAATATCACACTTCTGATAACTTTCTCAGTTTGGTCGTATTACCCATAATGTTCAATAGATAGCGTTCATTTCTTTAAGAAATTGCACAGCCCTATTCCTCTGACACGAGAGAGCGATGAATTATATAAAACTGCACCGAAAATAAATTAATTTAGAATACACTAAGGTGGGTTATTACTATTATACTAATTAATAATTACGGCGACATATTTTTGAATTGATGTATGGTGAAATTAAAAGTAAGAGAAACGGAATAACTGCTCTAAAACGTCTCATTTTGATCTAGGTCATACAACATAATGATTTTAATTTTACTTGCAACACTGCTCCTTTAAAACCTGTAAAATAAACTGTGAAGTGTCATATCTCCCCAATAAACTCGGTCTTTTATAGCATTACGACAGCGTATTCCAGTGGCAACTTACCGGCGTCTAAATGACTTTTTTTCACTTTTTCGTAATTTTTCGGTTCTTTAGTATTATAATTGAAAGAAGAGTTAGAAACTTTAAGAATAGATAGAATGGAAATAAAAATATAAGCTTTAAGAATAGTATAGAAAATAAATAGTCTATATGCAATTTTACGTTCTTGTATACTGACCGTCTGCCCATCTGTCTGTGGCCAACACTAGCGCCTACACCTTAGATTTATTTAGTCAAAAACAGTAAAAACTGTATGTGACGTATGGGGGAGAAGACAATCTTTCAGTAGATTTTATCCAAAATTGAAAATCCAGATCGATTGGAAGAAAAACAAACCTCTGCGATACTCAAACGGGTGTTTTGGTTGTTGGGAGTACTAACCTAAAACCACAGCATTTTCAAATTTTTCTCAAAAATGGCTCTAATTGATATAAAGCCTGTCTTCGGTTAGAGAATAGGACTTAAAAGAATGACACAGTTCCCATTATTGCTGGAATCCACTTTTTGAAAATTAGAAATGTTGAGTATTTTTTTTGGCACCTTCTATATTGAAGATGTCAATTTCTTCCTGAACGAAATAGGTTTCTTGATGTCAAATCTTCTAATAAAGTAATGTACAATTTTTCGATAATACAAATTGGTTTTACGGAATTTTGCGTGAAATGTAAGCAATTTTTAAACAATTATTTTCTCAAAACCGTTCAAAGATTTTTCTTTGAATTTTCTCCTCGTATGTATGAAATACGAGTAATAAAATTGTGCTAGTCTCATTTTGTCGAACTCTGTGTTTTTGATAGTAGCGATAGAGATTTTGACATGAACCAAATATGTTCTAAACAAACTTTTTTAAAACAGGTCATGTAGAAGTTTTAGAAAACAATGAGTAGTTTTCGTGTAAATTGTACTTGAAATTAAGATAGTTTATAAAAACAACATTTCTCAAACAAAATATAAAAAAACGCTCAAAATGTTTCAAAATACTTTTTTACGGATAGAACAAGGGACGCTTAAAATATGGCGCAGATCTAATTTTCACAGAGTGCTGGTAATTTTCGAAAATTGCAAGAGTTATAATTATCACTAGTTTTCTTTTGCATTTATCTCTTCCAGAATATTTTCGCATTCATTCTTCCGCGGTTGCAAATAAATGCTGTGACAAATGACAGTCGCGTTGCCGCAGATCCGCTCATATTACAAATGTACACACGTTAATATTTAGATACTTAATAAATCAGTATGAATGAATGATTAAAATTAGATAAAAAATAACATCTTGTAGGTACCATGGTACTTAACTGGTTCGATCTCGGGGGACAAGGAGCCGGGCAAAATACCTCCGGTCTTTACGCCGTCCGCTCCAAACCTCAAACCATATAACGCTATTGGCGAATAAATATGATCGACATAAGGGAGTAATACGCCCGCTTGCATTAAAAGTTTCCGTAACATAAAATATTCATATTGCAAAATAATTATGTGAAATATGTCTACAACAAGTAATAAATGAGAGTTTAATTTATTTCGAATACGTATTCTCAGTTATATGTCGAAAACTCTACGCAAGTCACGATCACGACTCGGTGACGTGGAAATTGCATCATGCAAAAATACATCCCACCTGCGTCACGATCACGAAAACATGACGCAACAACCCGACCGACCGCTTCGTAAGAAAAGTCACGCATGAACGCGATCCTTATTTAAGGAGCAGCGCCTCTTCTTTGGCTCACAGCTTCATCTTCACTCTCTCACCTGCAACGGCCATCGCGGAAGCAGCAGCGACGTACCCCCTGGCGAAGAGCTTTCCTATCTGTTGTTCGAGGTAAGGCAAAAGGGAAACTGTTCTAAAACTCCGCTCTAAAACATGAAATCTTCGTAAGATGCTACAACGAGAAAAAAATTGTATCTAAATAATACGTCTTTGATTATCACTAACATTCCTCACAATTAAATAATCCGTTCTGATTCTGTGCTCAAATGAATATAATTAGACTTACTAACTTCATTACGAGATCTAGAGCAAGTATTGGATGCGAGAGAAGTTTAAGAAACGAAGGCTATAGCAATGGTTAGTAACCAATCAAGTCCGATATTTTCCGAAGTATATTTTTCGTATTTCCACCTTCTTATTAGAAATAAACATACGTGTAAGAAGTACATTTTTTTTAAATGGAAGTACCCATACCCCATAATGTCTCTACAACTATTTTGTCTCCATATGTTGGCGTCGTCGTCGTATGTTTGTCTTGCGTAACCACCTTTCTCTTTCAGATGAACGCGCCAAGTTCTTCGAAGCACGGGTGCCAGCCCCAACGCGACGCCCATGGGTCTAGCCCCTGCCACGGCTCTCGCCACAGGCCCCACGCGTACCACGCGCCTCCATCCGGCCACCACGCTAGCCGCGAGCAGCGCGACTCAGGGGCTCCCCCCCGCCGGAGCGCGTGTGCCGGGGCGGGCGACAGCCAGCGGCACGATCACGCGCACGGCTGGCACGGACACGCCCACGTCCACGCCCACGCTCACGGGCAGGGACAAGGCCACGGCACGGCGCGCCGCGGCGGCGGCCGCGTTTGAGGCAGTCCACGCTCTGGCCGCAGAGGAGCGTACCACGCTCCTGCTCCGTGGCGCCGATGGAACGCCCGCGGGATGCTGAAGGAAGAGATACATGCGCCATCCCGTGAATCTTATTTATTTATGTGCTTTTTGTAATTGAACTTGGAATTTAAGCACTCAATTGGCAGTGCTTCAGGAATAATTTCTGATTCCCATTTGCCACATGATTTAATATTCAGTATTTCCTCGTACATTTGTACATTTCCTGAACTTAACATGGCTGTCATGCCAAAAGAACACTCACAGAATTGGAAATTGTATGTTTCACCTTCGAATTTCAACAACATATTTCATATTTTAAGAAAAGTAGACAAATATAATTCACAGTAGTTTATAATTAAACTATTTTGTTTTATTTCTATGTTTGCCTAAATAATGAATCAAAACAAATCCAGTTTACACTCTGAGTATTTTTATTTCTTTGTGTTGTATTTGGTCATGTATGTGTGTCATATCTTACGAAGAATTATTTCAAGTAAACTATATGGAAAATGTACTGTGTTCAATGTTTAATAAATTTCTAAATAAAATATTATTCATTTTTTGGTTGCTTTTGTCGATGAATAATTTAGTCCTGCTAAAACACACGTTTTCGTATCATTTAGCACTTTTACAATTTATTTCACGTTCTTCACGTTCTTACGTTCTCAATGTTCTAAAGGTAGTGAGTATTTACAAGTGTAAATGGAAGTTATCACAAAGTACTTAAGACGTGGTACAAGTTAAGTATGTACAAGTACAAGGCTCGTAACGGAAGCAAAGTTGCTGACGGGATCATTCCCCAATTGTTCGCGAGATCTGGCGCCGAAGTACGTCGGCTTACGTGGATTTTCCAAAACCAGAAATCTCCCACCAGCCTCCCGATTCGGAACAAGCGCTCAGCTCCCGGCTGTCATCCCAACAAGCGATAGTTAAGTGCATATGAATGTTAGGATGTGTAAGTAAGGCAGCGAGGAGAAGACAAGAAAGGGGAAGAAAGGTAAGATTGCGCGCGGTCCGTGGCTCGTTTGTTAGGGTAGTCCTCTAGCATTCATCTGGTGTTGATCAGAGAAAACACGGAAAATTACTGATCAGAGCAGCTGGCCTCTAGAATTCTCCTCCAGACAGGAACATAACTCAACCTAGCTATCTGGCTAGTGTCAAAAACCCTGCCACCGTCGGAACTCTTAACCCTAGGTTCTTCCGATCAGAGGCACTACAGTGATATCAATTGATTATATTATGTGACCTGAGCCACTTTTACTGGTCTAAGCTCTCGGCTAGAGTCCTGAAATGTGTGGTAGAGTATCGCACTAAAGTGTATGTGAGAGTGTAAGGGGAAAGGTGGTGGGAAGGAAAATGAAGGAAAGATCGCGCGCGGTCCGCGGCCCTTTCATTAGAGTACAGCATCGGTATTCATCTGACATAGATCGGAGTCATCACAATAAATTATCGGTCACAGCAGCTGGCCTCTAGAAATATTCTCTAGACAGCGGCTGAATTCGGCATTGCTGAATAACATAATATGTGATGTAAAGAGAAAATGAGTTGTAGGCCCTTCTTCTGGAGAACATGTTATGTTTATTCTTGAAATTGTACATATAATAAATATTATTAAATTTTAATTTCCTCTTTATTATAAACTTCTATTATAAATTTATAATGTGGTTTGTTATCAATTTATTTACCTCACAGTTCATTTTGTGAGCTATCAGTTTCGGATTCACTTTCGTAGATATTTCCAGAGGACACTTCTTGAGGTGTACAATTTTCTAAATAGTTTTGGTAAAATGTTTTGCTCTCTTCGTTTTAAGTACCTAATATATATAAAGTCCCCAATATCAGAAACTTTTGCTGGATTAACTGGAACTCAAAAGACAGGTTAGGGTAACTCTCTTCATGTAACGGAATATTGCTTTACCAACCTAACGAATCGATATAAAATTATGAAAATATGCTTGGATATAGATCAAAGTAAGCAGAATTCATTTCTGCATTCTCCGTAAGAAGGGCTCATAGTCTTTCACGCCTCTCTTCTAGCTACTGCCTCAATGGCAGTCTTGTGCTAACTCATCCAACCTTTTCCTCGAGGTTTTCCCGTTTTTCATATCTATTCTGCCATTGGTCCATCATTATTAAAATCATATCAACCTCATTTTCACGTATCTCTGGAATCAGTCATCCATCCTAGAAACTATTTTTTGTGCGCACGCTTTTGTCTTGGACGTGAAGGCTGCTCACCTACTTCTAATGCCTATGACAAAGACAAGAGAGGTTCGCAAAACACACTGCTCGTTATCTATTGTTACGTGGGGAGCAGTTTTGCGGGAAAAAACTAGACAACACAAGTTTATAGCTATATTTCATTAACAGAGGTAATTCTCGTTTTCCTGTTTACTCGATATAAGGCGTAGTGGTAGGTCGTATATTATAGTGATAATTTATTTTTTGTAAATATACTTTATTTCTTTTTGAGAGCTTTGTTGACGAAATTATACCATATTAAGCTGTAAATTGAAGGTAATATCACTTTCAGTAATAATTATTCCTCAAAATACTGAGAATTTATACACGGAAAATAATGCTAGTGCTTTACTCATGTTATTGTTTCCTTGAGTATGCATAATTTTTACCGGATCAGTAATTTATTTACTTATTTTGTCGTAGGTTTTCTATGTTGGTATTGTTACTGCAATGAATACTATAAAATCTGTATTTTTCAATAAGAGATACGGTAAGAATAGGAGATGTACTACGTCATAGACTTCACACTACTTAATATAAAAATGATAGTAATGTTATATAGTAATACAATCTATAACATGATTGTCTACATGCCCACGATTGCATCGTAAAGTTAGAGTAAATAAACCTGTATATTTGCATATTTTTACTAATGGTTTAAGGATAGATTGTCAAAAAAAGACTTTTCGGGTAGGACAGATTCTCAAGAAATAAAAAATTAAAAATTGACCAAACTGCGATAAAATACGGTGCTATTAGAACATCTAACGGTACAATTTCATAGTTTTTGCGGTGCACAATTATGTTTTGAAATTTTATTTTGGAATTAGATAGTCATGAAATTGAATTTGTAAAATTCAGCAATACTGAATAGGCTTTTCTTAATTGATTTTATTTGGCGGTCTATTGTTTATATGTGGCGGCTCGGAACAAATACATACTAGGCAAATGCCGTATGAATCCAGGGAATCTACGTTGATCTCTTTACGCATTTGAGTTGAACATTTATACAATATCTTGAATGCCAAAGCATTTAGTAGTAGCAGTATTAATTTAATCGCAATTTCTTGCTTTTAGGCACGTTTAAAACTTCAGTCTCAGCGAATCTCAAAGCAAAGAATTTCTTAAAAATCCATCCATTCCAATTTCTGACAGTTTTCATCATTGATGTATTTGTTGTAGCAGGAAAGTAAATCACTAAGAGGCCACTTATCGAAACCGATTATTTATTTTTTCACTCGATAAAAATTAGGCTACTCGTTTCTTTAAGTTGTCACATACTGCATCAAAGTATACATTTCTTGCAGTATAATTCAATTGCCTAACAAAGAGACCACAGACCGCGGACGATATGCCCTCCCTCCTCTTTGTCTAACGCTCACCCCTTACACACACTCACATACACTACACAATCGCGCACGTGGGGTCACCAGTCAGAATAAAGCTTGTTCTAGGGGAGGCTAGCTTGCTGGTAGGAGATACCTGGATGCGGAAAACCCAGCAAGCCGCCGTGTCGGTCGGAACCGGATATCATTAACCAGTGTGGTAAAAACGCCATCTCCCGCCACACCAACTGCCATTGGATTAATGATTGTAACTGTTCACGCGCCCAAAAAATGCAATCAATTAAATCGATGATACCGAGAACTCAATACACCTTCTGTAAAAAATGTAGTAAAATTACTATTATTACTTCTATTAAATTACTAGTATTAATTTCATTGAATTTGGGTGGTAACTAGTGGCAACAATTACAAATAGTCAAAAATTTCACCTAGTGACCGTCTTAAGGTAGCCCTAAAGTCGGTTTGTCTAGAAAACCTCTAATACTTGATAACGCAGAAAAATAAATCAGCGGGAAATTAAAAAACAAACTAGTGGCACTAAGCAGCACATTCTTTCTCACCTTATTTGTAACTGCTGTGAAATTTTATAACACTAATTGAATGTAAAAAATGTTTCCAAACATTTTTTCCACACTGGAATTCGAATGCACATTCATTAGCTCGCCATTCACATTACCCCTACATCTCCAGCCTCACAGCTTAAATAAGCGAATTTGATATCAGAATAATGTAGCAAAATAGAGCTTTCGGAACCATGGAAACCTTCTAAAACGTATGATAATGCTATTTTTATGGATATCAAAAAGGATTTTTCACTTCTGATTGTTTAAATATTGCTTAAACGTGTTGAAATTATATTCAAATCCCTGAAAATAAATTTAAAGAATCGTCTTCCCAGTATTGAGGAACATGAAAATAGAAGCATAGAAACACCACACAAATTAAATTTGATTATGAACACAAAATATTATAGTATTGAGTAACGGTTGAAGAATGGAAGGGGGGGGAAGGGTCGTGTCTGGAAGGGTCGCATGGTTTATACCGAGATGCAGGTTCACGTTTCGATTTGAAATGATTAGATTAAATTCCAAAGTTTAGACTTGCTATTAGAGCGGTGGTTTCAATTATAAAATGATCGACATTTAAGGGAATATGAAATTGTTCAAATTATTAATTTCTTGTAATGACCCTGCACATCTTACACTTCCCATTGTAAAATAGGTACTGCGTAATATGCAGTTTAATTTGTACACGTAACCTTGTGTTACACCATTCCGTGCCCAAAATGCAACAAGAAGTAGGTTATTGATATCCAAAATACACTCGAATAAGAAGATTACAAGACATTTGGTTTGCCTGAAGGAGAATAATATAGAGTAAATAAATGACTTCAATGTGCGTCTAAAAGATTTTATTTGATATATGGTAAAAACATCACATCATAGAATATTATTAGAATTGAATAAAATAT